TTGGGGGGGGGGGGGGGGGGGGGGGGGCACTGCCCTCTCTGGGAAATCCTGTGGTGGGGCTTGAGCCCCACTGCCCCCCATAGTTTACACCCCTGGATGTAGGATAGGAATGGGATACACAACATTAATCCATAAAATAGGAACCAGATAGGTATGCATGATAAGAAGCCTCCTGAGTCTAACTTCCTGTTTTCAATGGCGGCCAGGCAGATTCCCCTGTGCAAAGCTCACCAGCAGGGCACAAAGTCCTGTGCTTTGGATCACAATCAGTATTCAGAGAAACACTGTCTTTGAACATGGGGGACCTATTTTGCCGTCGTGGCCGACAGCCTATTCATGTTGATTTTGGTACCTTGCTTTTCTCACCAGCGGGGACCCCAAATTGCTTTCAGCATTGTTCTCCCAGCCTCTATTTTATCTTCACCACAACAACCCTGTGAGGTAGGGGAGACTCAAAGTGACTGATGCAAGGGGACCCAGTGGGCTTCCAGGGCGCTGTGGGGATTTGAACCTGGGTCTGCCAAATGCTAGCCTGACATGCTAACCTCTATGGCTAGAGAAGAGTTTCAAAGGGAAAATCCAACAGAAAGTTGTCGAATTCATCAAGAAATTCAATGCTATTTCTCAGCCAGATCTTAACAAAGCCTTGTCATTTCACATTGACTATAGGCCTTGACTTGGATGGCCTGGGCTAGTCCAATCCTGTCAGAAGCTAAGCAGGGTCAGCCCTGGTCAGTATTTGGATGGGAGACCAGCAAGGAATACCAGGGTGGCGATGCAGAGGCAGGCAATGGAAAACCACCCCTGAATGCCTCTTGCCTTGAAAACCTCACAGGGTTGCCGTAAGTCGGCTGTGACTCGATAGCACTTTTCACCACCAGAGGTGCTAGTATTTTAGCGACTCTCACCACTGACAGATATTAGATGTTCAGCTAAACTTTCATATTCTTCTCATTGGCTCTGCAAATCACGGTTCAACCAGCACTAGACCTACTTCATGTTAATTCTACTTTTCTGATCAATCAATACTTGGGAACGGTCCTCACCCAATTGGAGTGCATTGATTACAGTTTTAATTGGATAGTGTTTAAACTGGCCTCTCTTCGTAACATCTCCCCCCTCCCACACACACCTAGCTGGGGCCTACAGCTTTGGAATAAATACTTCTGCCTGATGAAGAGTCCCACACACCTGCCACATGAACGTGTGTGGCAGAATGCATTATTCCCCCCCTCCCCCCGTTTAGTCTTTAAGGTGTCTCTGAACTCTTTTGTATTGCTGCCAGGCATGCACATGGAAAGACCAGCCTTTGACTGGCTTCTCTTCGATATTCTTCTCTGAACCTCCATGTTCAGAGGCCCTAAATCTCTGAATCCCAGAGCCAGGAGGCAACATGAGGGGAAGGCCTCGGCCTCTGTGCCCTGTTGTTGGCCCTCCAGGGGAACTGGCTGAGGCCACTGTGTGAGGCGGGATGCTGGGCTAGATGGACCCTCACTGGTCTGATCCAGCAGGGCTCTTCTTGTGTTCTTATCAGGGAAAGGCCTCAGCCTCTCTTCCTTATTGTTTGCCCTCCAGAGGAACTGGTCAAGGTCACTGTGTGAGACGGAGTGCTGGACCAGATGGACCACTGGTCTGATCCAGCAGGGCTCTTCTGATGTTCTTGTGAGGGGAAGGCTTCAGCCTCTGTGCCCTGTTGTTGGCCCAGAGGTTGAGACCACTGTGTGAGGCGGGATGCTGGACTAGATGGACCCTCATTGGTCTGATCCAGCAGGGCTCTTCTTGTGTTCTTATCAGGGAAAGGCCTCAGCCTCTCTTCCTTATTGTTTGCCCTCCAGAGGAACTGGTCAAGGTCACTGTGTGAGGCAGGATGCTGGACTAGATGGACCCTCACTGGTCTGACCCAGCAGGGCTCTTCTGATGTTCTTGTGAGGGGAAGGCCTCAGCCTCTGTGCCCTGTTGTTGGCCCTCCAGAGGCCAACCTCCAGAGGTTGAGGCCACTGTGTGAGGCGGGATGCTGGACTAGATGGACCCTCATTGGTCTGATCCAGCAGGGCTCTTCTTGTGTTCTTATAAGGGGAAGGCCTCGGCCTCTCCGCCCTGTTCTTGGCCCTCCAGTTTGGGGTCACTGTGTGAGACAAGATGCTGGACTAAATGGACCACTGAGTCTGATCCAGTGGGGCTCTTCTGATGTTCTCTTCCTCCCTGAATGCTTGTGAAAGAAATAGAAACGAGCGGCCGCTGCTACATCTGGCAGGCGTGATTCCATCAGTTTAATGATGTGTTGTGTGGAGCAATGCTTCCTTTCGCATGTCCTGAATGTACTGCCAGCCCTCCTCAAGAACTGACCCTTGAGCACCCTTTTATTACGAGGGAGAAAAACAAATTCCTCTCCCCACCCTGTTTGTAATTTTATAGGCCTCTATTGTTGTTTCCTGTTCACCGTCTTCTCTTGCAAGCTTGAAGAGTCCCAGGCTTTTGAAACTTTCCGCAAAGGCAAGGTGCTCCATGAAGCCCGGAGAAGAGACGACTGAGAGGTGATATGATCACCATCTTGAAGTACTTAAAGGGCTTTCCTATAGAGGGTGGTGCAGAGCAGTATTCCCTCTAAGCTGAGTTAGTGTGAGCTAGCTCACAGTTTTTTTAGCTCACACATTTTTGTCTTAGCTCAGGAAAGACAAAGCAAACTAATTTATGCAGTAGCCAAATCGCTTGCTCACAACTTTAATGCCGGTAGCTCACAAAGTAGAATTTATTTTTGCTCATAAGACTCCACAGCTTAGAGGGAGCATTGGTGCAGAGTTGTCTTCTGTTGCCCCAGAAGGTTGGACACCAGAACCAACGGGTTGAGATTAAATCAGAAGAGTTTTTGGCTAAACATGAGGAAGAACTTCCTGACAG